GTCCAGCACGCGGTTCATCTTCAAGACTGAAATCTCCTTGACGAAATTTTTGATACCATCTTTTACATGTAGTATGACTTACAGCGTTCTCTCCATATGCAGCAAAAATCATTGCAGTGGCTTCAGCAACATTTTTCTTCAGATGAAACGCGAAGTGGATGGAAAATCGAATATGCTCTTTTGTTATTGCCATTGTGAACACTATTGATTTTTGAGGTTATGTGCATCAAACGTCATATGGCATTTTAGAAGGTCAAATGTCAACGCTTTAAAATCGCAAAAGGGCAGGAAAATATATAAAATTTAAATTGTTATTTCGGTTGTATGAAATCTAAAGCTCAGAACTTTTTTGTACACCCAATATTATTTTGTATTGCCTCGGGACGCGTTTCGTTATTAAGAATACCACCTATCTCGATTATAAATAGAATCCGTCTTGGCCCTATGATCAGTTCTCGTCTTAAATTCGAAGGGAACACACCCTAATACCTGTTAAGTGACTTAAGTATTAAGTGTCTAAATAAAGTTCAATCAACAGTTCTTCTGTGGTTTTAATTCTTTAACATTACGTCGCATCCTGCACGTAACAGTTGCCGTTTTGCCGCGTCCTGTGTGCAATCAGCCTAAGATAATGCTATCTATCTTAAAAAAAGAATCGATTTTTTTAAAAAAAGGAATTAATTCAATAAAAATCAAGTTTTGAAAAATCGATTAATAATTAATTATTTATCATCCAGAATAATCGATTTTTCAAGAATCGGAATTTCGCATTACTAGTCGCCTCCAGCCTGCTAGGGCTAAGAGTTACTGCAACGTTTTTTGGAGCTCACGAGGTCAGCTCCGGCCTCAGTGCCATCACACGATCATAAACGCCGGGAAGATCGACCGATCTCCGGTCATATTCTCTGCGGTCGTAAACGCCGCACAATCCGCCCGTCTCCGGGCGATCTTCTCTCCGTGGCCGTGAACGCCGCGCCAACCGTCCGTTTCCGGTTGAGTCTCCGCTCGCGACTGTAAACGTAATCATCACGTCCGGCCGGCCACCGCACGACCTTAAACGCCGTCCAATCCGCCCGTGTCCATGATGTAAGAAAAAAGTAAACAAATATTGCTCATAATGGCGGAGGTCTGAGATCTTAACCAATCAGAACTTGAGCTTTTATGCAGCGCGCTGTTTTATAAATATCAAAAATGAAATAAGATTGTCTAATGCAATTTGGATAAAAATATGTAAATTGGATAAAAATATGTTGTATTTAATATTATAAAAATAAAGTATAACTATACAAATTGTATAACTACAAATTGTTGACAGTATGATTTATGCTTTTAGAATTCTTACTTATATATTGATCAAATTTAATTTTTATTATATGTTAAAATTTTTATCTGTTAAGATGTGTCACTTATGAGTTCTGTTGGGGGATTTTTTTAACACGTTCTCATATTTAGAATTCTGTCATTATTTCTTTTGTTCATACGACGCTTGATTACATATATTGAAGAAAACTCTGTGAGTCGAAAACGTTTTTTTAAATAAAGACATTGTTTATAAAGAATTAATGAAAACATATTCTGTTAACAAATTATTGTTGCTTTTGACCTTCAATTTTTATTATTTTATAATGTATAAGTATTATATAATGTACATTTATATTACAAATATGTGTTAAAATAAGAGATAATTAATAAGAAATATGATTTTGATATTACAACAAGAATGTTGTACTACCTACAACTACACTACATCGTAGCTATTTGTGACATATAAAATATGAAAAGGAAAAGATTATAAGTATTCGAAATATAAACTTACCATAGTTAAGCTTTATATCCCCTTCCTTTCGTTGACACCCTTCGAACCACTGTTTTCGTAGTTCATGCTCTTTGGGAAAATAATATAATATATAATTGTAATTTTCCTTGTTACTACGATCGGTCCGGCTTTTGCAATTTTGAACGCAACAAATTGACATTTTGGCACTAATATCACACTGTCATTTAAAACGAAACTCAATAATGGCGCGCTCATCTCCTAGCTAGAGACCTTTTAATAAGAGTCTGGCTATTAGAAACTCGATTTTGAAGCGTTTTGATTGATCCGCCATTTTTTTTCTTATTTAAGGGTGCCGTCACATGCGGCGTAACTTGCGTAAGCGTAATCTGCGTATTCTACTGATTTACTAAAATACGTTACGCCATTTTGAAAGTTTTCTTTCACATAGAGCGTATTTCGCGTAATTTCAAAAAATGCGTAATTAATACAATCTGTTTGAAATTGCTAGAAGTAAATTGCGCCTGAAAGCGAAACGCGGAACACGATAAGCGCATGTGATGCGCTTATCGTGCGTCCGCGACAATCGATTGCCCTAAATCATGTGATCGATGGCACCAGGTAGCCCGTCGATATCTATCACGCGGAAGTAATTATGCTTATCAATCACTCTTCAAGGGCGGCGTAACGAGGGTTTTTCGAGAAGCTTGCGAGATCATCCGATCAATTTCGTCCTATCAGCGATTGACACGACAAATCATGTGATTTTCGGCCAATCGATAGCACACACATACGTTTCGCAATCGACGATGGGCTACCGCCGCCGGCCCCGTTACCGACTGCACCACCGAGCATCTTCGCGGAATCGCCGAGCGCGTTCAACGAATTGTCTCGAATCTTCCGGCAAGATTATCCCCGGAATCGCCACAGACTCGAGTTCAGCCGACCTGTACCCGACTACTTCCGATCGACGGCCGACTCGAGTATATTAAGCGACTCCGGTGGATGATCAGGACTATCGCCAGCGAGATAGTAAAGCATCCAGTACTGCTCTCGACATTCCCGTTTCTCTCCAAGAAAAGCGATCTAGGGTGCTTCCTATCGAGCCAGGAGCTTCTGGCCGATCGCTCCTCTCCATCAAAGCACACAAGTTTCTCTAGGGTTAAGGAGCTTCTTAACCTGGGCTCTAAAGGCAAGCCCTTGTACACATCACTCCGCTGACGGTCAAGAAGCAGGAAGCTTCCTGCATTCCAGCCACAGCAAAATAGAACATCCCAATCTCAGCCTGACGAGAACTGAAAACTAGACGTACGAATCGCTGATCGATAATAACACGCGCTCCGAGACCCCTCGCACCGTCACATCCGCGCGCGTCTACCATCGCAAACGCGCCGGATTCACGGAACAGACCACGAGCGAATCTATTGTAACGATTCCTGGAATCCGCGACACTTTTCGCCAAACAACGTAAGACCAGATTTCCGGGAAAAACACACTGTAAATGTACATAAAGAAAACTCAGTCAGTAACTGTAAATAACTCAGATTACCTTTAAATATAGATATATAACAAATTAGTTTCTCGATATTTTATTTCTCTCCGAATAATCCTGACCACACCCGACCGACGCTATCCCGCGAAACACGCCGATCCAGGAGCCGCGAGGAAGTGGAAACGTTTTAAACTATTTGATAGTTCTGAAAAGAACTGTTCAAATAATACTAAGACTCAGTACTTAGTCCAGTGAAGTGAGTACTTAGTCTGAAAAGCGATATATAAAGGAGATATAATTTATGTATAGATATATGTCTAATTACATACGCAATGGAAAGAACATAAAAAAATTTAACGCAATATTTTTTACCTAAAATTGAAAATGAAATAAGATTATATTTAGTTGTATTTTAGGTATTATTTTATTTTTACCATGTTGTACTTTATGATTTACGTATACATTTTTAAACCAAAGAATTAAAATAACAATAAAAATATTAAATTTTAAATATTTAAATTTTACTAAAAAAAAAAAAAAGAATAGAACTCTACAAGAAAAGAATTCTAAATTTTAAATTTTATCTATTATTTTTATAATTGCTGATATTCTAATAAAATTCGCGCGCACGCGATTATCATGGCTGTCGATAATGTTACGCGCTACTGTGATCCCGTGAATCATTGCACCGCATTGTACATTTAAGTATTGTAAATGTATTGTATAAATATATTGTGTAAATATATTGTATTTGTGCAGTTTATTTGCTAATAAATATGTCTATTTTGTAGTGTTTATTTTTGTTTGTCTTTATTAATTTTACATACTTATTTAATCATCTAATTATTATTTAATATCTATTTCAAATTTCGATATTGAAAAGATTATACATGATGTATACATGATGTAAGGAGACAAGATGTGCTCGTCAAGTATAAAGATACAATAAGGGTGCATTCGTTTATGCAATCATTATCGCAGATATCATTCGTTTACTCCGTCTGCGAAAATGACTGCAGCGCAATTCGTCGTTCGTTTACGCAGGGATGTATCTCATCTGTGCAGCTATCTCGGAAGTTCTGCTTTGAATTGTAAGAATTAGACGACCGTAAGCGGTCATGAAAGAGATTCGGAATATAAACAGCTAACAGAGAGGAGCCGTCGTGGTCGTGCAGACTAAGTGTCGGATTGGTAGACGAGGGATCCCGAGTTCAAATCCAGTCGGTCTCCGTTAATTTTTTCCGAATCTAATAGATATCTTTCAATCTCAGAAGTGTGGGATTCAGCCTATGTTACCTCAGAGAAGATTCAGCCTATGTTACCTGACAAGTCGATCGTTCAAAAGTGAACGGAAAAAGTCGTGGAGTAGTACTCCAATGTCGTGTCGGTCGTTCAAGAGAAATGAACGGAAAAAAGTCGCGGAGTAGTACTCCAAAGGAGTCGTGTCGGTCGTTCAAGAAGTGATCGAGGTCGGGAGCAGAAGCTTCAAGTTTCGGATAAAAATCCGATAGAGGAAGACTCGGTACATTCGGGACGAATGTAATACCAGAATGGCCGAACTGTAAGAATTAGACGACCGTAAGCGGTCATGAAAGAGATTCGGAATATAAACAGCTAACAGAGAGGAGCCGTCGTGGTCGTGCAGACTAAGTGTCGGATTGGTAGACGAGGGATCCCGAGTTCAAATCCAGTCGGTCTCCGTTAATTTTTTCCGAATCTAATAGATATCTTTCAGAATGCTTTGCTTGCAGTACTACGTAAACGAACATCAAAATAAATTTTATTAGAATAAGAAGCGGATTAAAATAAGAATTTAAAAAATAAAAATAAAAAATAAAAATAAAATAAGAAAAAATAAGAAGAAATAAAAAAATAAGAATAATAAAATATAATTCACAAAAAATTAATATCTAATTTTTAAATAAAATTCATAAATTAAATATTTTGTATAATATTCATTATTTATATCAATTAAATTTATATCAATAAAATATTATTTTTATGCAATAAAGTTTTATTACATTTTAATTATTCGAATATAAATTTATGTATAAAATTGTCTCTTTATTTATCATTCAAACAATCGGCTCAATTTCTATTGGAAGGTACGATCCGTGCAGTTATTCACGCAGTTATCCGTTCGGTAAATTTCGATCACGTGACAAGCAGATGAGAAAGTAGTGGATGCGCAAAATACTGCGGATGCGTTTCTTTATTCACTTCGAGTATTGTCAATACTACAAATAGCGTTCCGATATAGAGTAGTGCACTCCGAAAGTACTACCTTGAATTCCATGATGTCATTGATTTTGACTTCCTGTTGCGGCTATTGCAACCAGCGAGGTAAAGCAGTTAGAGCACAAAGATGGCTGCTTCCATGGAGATTGAAATAACCTTGATTGATGCTGAACAAAATAAAGCGTATAATATGAAATAATATAATATAATATAATTATTATGATAAAATTATTATTATATAATATTATGAAATTATTTATTATTATTAATTATTTTTTTATTATTGTTATCATTAATATTAATATTATTACTAACTTTTTTATTATTTATTATTTATTTTTTTATTATTATTAATTATTTTATATATATCATATTTAATATATATAATAAAATTATATTTTTTTAATATTATATATGCCAATTGTTTTCAATTGAATCTTGAAAACATACTACAACATTCCGTTTTATAATCTTGAAGCAGTTAGAAAGCGCACGAACTAAAACTGAATGATAGCCGCAGTATACTTCCATTACGTCATAACATGAATACTCAGAGTGAATAAAGGAAGGCGGATCAGAGTTGTGGCCAATCTCTTAGGGTGCATTCGTTTACGCCACAATTCTGATCCGCCATGTTTTGATTAATTCCTACGAGACAGAAAGAAATATACACCATCTCATTTTAATCAATAACGTGTTTTGGTAGCGATATTTTTTATTTTGCATATGCATTGATTTAAATATATTGTGCATGTATGTATTAAACATGTAGAAAGCGTGATAATATATTATTAAATAATAGAGATACTAAAACTGCAAAATATAGTCATAAATTAATTAATTGTGATAAATCAATATAAAAAATGGGTGGATGTTCATTTTTTTACTTATATTTTATTTTATATTGTAATAAAGCTTGTTTATAATAATAATAAATATGTATAATAATCCTTTCTAAAAAAAGGGACGACATCGATATTTGCATCTCTCGAAATTTCCTTGAAGATTTATTGTTGAAACTTTTCCATGATGGGTTCTCTCGCTGCGCTAACTTTGAATAGCTGTCATTGTATTGATTTCACAGAGGATCGTTTCGACAATTGCGTATCAAAAAATTAAAAATATTATAGTGTAACAGTAGTATAATAGTATTATATTAATTTTTGCTCTTGTGTTGAAAAAGATAAATAAAAAAGATAAATAAATAAATAAATAGTAATAAATTTAAAATCGTTAAAATTAAAAGAAATATATTAATAAATTGGTAATATAATTATGTAAAATAAAGTTTTATAAATATACACATTTTATTACCTTTAAAATGCTTATGTTTGTTTTTAAAGTATAATATTACAATTTAAGATTAATGTAGTTAATGTATTTGAAAATAAGTAGGAATAGTCAAAAGCTGGCGGATCAATCAAAAGTTGCTTTTTTTTGTGACCAGTCTCTGATTGTAGTGTCTCTATGCTACAAATGCTTTGAAGCATTTTTTGATTGGTCAATTCATAAACTTTTTTGATTGGTTAATCAAACGCTTCGAAGCTTTTATAGCGTTAAATAGATCATAGCCAAAACCTGTCACCCTACAATTTACTTTAATTCGCACTCCACCACCAGATGGCAGTATCTCATCTTTTGTTGCTCATTTTATACACAGAGGTTTCATTTTTCTTAGTATATGTTCTGTGGGGAAGCAGAGCTAAATGCTTTCATTGGTCGCTTGAGATATTACTTCGATATTACTTCAATAAATAATTTTATTAAATTTTCACATTGCATCATTTTCCTTTATTACATACTGCATTTGTGAAATACAAATTTGTTGTCATGATATCACAGAGTCTTGCATCTTATGGAGAATTAGCTGGAATAACTTGTATACGCAACTGAGCTGGCAGTTTCAAAAGCCACGTGTTACATAGTGTGCACCTTATTAGTTGTTCTATCATAAGATGAGAAGTTTGAGCCAATCAGATAATACCTTACCGTAATAAAAGGCGCTTGTCCGCTAGTTGAAGTCTTCCTCGGAAAACGTTAGTATTGTAAAGCGGGATACCAAAGAAATTTTGAGTATAAAAAGAAATCACTGAAAGAAAAAAATATTTAAGGTAAGAAGAGATTTATTCTGTTTTATTTCACTAAAATGTGCACATTCATTTACGTTAACCTTATTTAATATAATAGAGCGAAATATTCACAATAAATTATTGCGTTCTTCGAAACACATTGATATGGTTAGCATTGAAATAGTAGTACAAATACGTTTTTCCTTCGCTCGATTGTGTTAGTTGAAATATTAATTAATTTTTCCAAGTAACGAAACGAGAAAATGAGCCAATAATCTTATTAGAATTCATAACATTTTTAACACAAAAGAACAAAGAATAGATAATTATATCACATGAATGGATATTCGGATATGTAACTTTTCACACCATCTTACCTGAAAAAAGCAAACAGTACGTATTACGAAAAAAAGGCATGGTCAACGGAAAGATATATTTTAAAAAGCTGTGATGATTTCAAGAAAAACATCAAAAGTGTCCGAGATATTTTTATTATCAGATTTATTTATTTTAAGTGCAATTTGTTAAAGATTATTTTTTTTAATATTAATAGATAAATTTTGTTAACTATATTATCCGTTGCATTTTTTATATTTAGAGTGAAACAGATCCAGCAATTATGTACAAAAGTGAAGAATAAAATCAGAGAAAATGCTAAAAGAAGGATTCATTTTTTTGTTTGAACAACTTCATTTTTATCTATTAGCTAATGACTAAGACAATAAGATTACATCGGAAAATTATCGAAAATTTCTAAAAAAAAGCAGATTTGAGAGATAGTGTTGGTGAAAGTTTTTTTTAAATAGGGTTCTTAGAATCCTATTCAAAAAAACTTATATTTAATTATAATATAATGGAAATTAATTTTGATAAACAATTTCAAAAAGGAAAATCTATGGCGGAAATGATAAAAAGAATTATTTTATAATGAGTTTCAAATTTAATTTAATTAAGTTTAATTAAATTATTCTATAGCCTTGTTAACAATAACTATGCTAACAATACTAATGCATCATTGCCCTATTTTTGTATAACATTTTGTTTTTATGCCTCATTTTTAATCTTATAAATATTTAATTTGAAAAATTATTTTGTATGCATTATAATTTATCGAAATATGATTTCTTGTAATACTTGCTGAGCTTTCATTTTTTTGTTCCTACTGTTGTTTCGTTACTGATTCATTGTGTAATCCGTTTATGAGTTTGCTTTCTGTCCTGTGAGTTATACTAAAAACTTTCTATCTCATTTTTGTTAAGTCTTAAATATATATCTATTTCATTTTAAGTATAACAAGTGTACACTGATTCAGGTACAAAAAAACAGAATATATCGTGATACATGTTCGAAATCTGTTGAGATTATGTTCACATAACCTCTATTATTCCAATAGAATTTCTAAGTATTTAAAGGGTTATGATTGTATAATATTTATAGTAAGTACAGTTTTGTAAATATGGGTGGGATGGGGTGGAGTATAGGTGGTGGTGCATGTATATGCGCGCGCGCAAGAGAGAAAAAGAGATATGTCCTTTATATTTTATATTTAACAGACATACTTATATTAATATATATTTCTTATAAAGTATATATTCGCTACAAAAGATGAATATATATACTATATGTCTATATTTTTTATAGATACATACTTTGAAATGAATATATTATGTATTAATATATCACTATATTTGTTATTAAATATGAAATAAAATTATGTGAAATTATTGTGTGAAATAAAAAGTATAAATAGAAAATAAAATTACATGAACATTTTTATTTAATATCTTTTTTTTCTCTTTTTTTAAATTTTTTAAATTGCTTTCAAATCATGCTTTCTGTTTTTTATTTGTTTTAATTTATTAAAATTTTTAATTTTCTTAATATTTTAATTATTTAGACAAAAATGTCTCAAAGAGGAGGAAGAGGAAGAGGTAGTCATGGACGAGCATCACAAAAGCAGACGAGTTCTATGCACCAAGAACAACAGCTTCCACATGCTCAGGCATCATCTAGCAGTGGGGCTGTTCGAAGACCAGGCCAATCTGCCGTACAATCAGTAATATAAAATATATTATTGTACATATAATATAATATACATATTATATTAATATGTAGGATAATATGGAAATTTATGAGAATTTTATTAAAATTATGGCAGCATATGATCTTATATTGCAAAGATGATATTAATTATATTGAAAATAATATCAATTTTTTAAATAGTTTCTATAGTTGTAGATTATACTTACTCTTTTATTTTACATACAATTTCTATGCAAAATAATATAATATGGCTTATGTAATATAGTATATTTCATATAATATAGTACATTTAATAAAAATAATAGAGCAATTCATTTTATTACTATAAAAAAAAGGGAAAAAAAACTTTAAATTTTTTAAAACTTCTTTTGCCCATATTGATAATACAAGTGCTACATTTATTAGAACAATTTTATTATATAAGAATATTGCACAATTAAATGCTTAGAAAATTAATGTAAAATTAATAATTTATTTTCAAATCATGAAACATCAATTTATTGTTCTTCATGCAAAGCAGGATATCGATCTATGAATTTAACTAAAATAAGAATATGAGATATGCTATTTGCGATTAAACTTTTTCTGAAAATCTGCATATTAATACTGTTAAACCCTACAAGTAATAAATAACTATAAGTGTATCATTTATGTTAATTTATTAAAAATTGAGATTTTCATTTTATATAATAAAGGTAATGATATAAATATAATATTTATCAGAAGTAGTATCTAATAAATATAATATTTATCAGAAGTCATTATTAATATTATATTAAATTTGCATTTCTATGTATTATATTAAATGGAAATATTTGACATAACTTAATAATTTTAAGAATAATAATAATTACTCCTAATTCAATTAAATCTTTCGACAGAGTACTGGACGTGGTGTAATACAACGCGTTGGTGAAAAGGGTGATAGTGCAGCAATGGGACAGATAGGAAGAGGCATGGAAAGACTTGGAATACAACCTACTGGTATATTTTATTGTTATTTTTAAATTTAATCTATATCATATAAATATATATTAACATAAATATATATAGTATTGTATATTTTGCATTATACACATAGAAAATTCTTACGTTAGTACAATTATATTTTTTATACATAAACTCAACAATAAGTACATAAAATTGAGATTATATACATATATATATATATATATGTATATAAATTATATGTAATAATTTATATATATATATATATATAAATTATATGTAAATATAAATTGTAATTGTATGCGTGAGTATTTGTGTTTGTGTTTCATTTTATCTAAATTACAATGATAACATGTTTTAACACATTCATTGCTATGATAGCGATTTTCTTGACACTGATAATTTCCATTCATGCTGTTGGTCACTGGTGATGGATTGATTACAATTAATACATATAATTTACATTTATAAGATTGATTTTAAGTAATAATAGAAAGGCAAAGCTGACAAACACAAAAAAATGAGTATTTTAATTTCACTGCTACTATTACTTTCTACTATAACTAAAATATATAGTATGGATGGACAGATAATTGAAATATGCTTGGTGACAAATATATTGACAGTATCATATGAATTATATCCTCGGAAATTTAAAAAGTTATGATATGTGAAGAATATCTCGATATATGACATGTTATTTTTATTTGCTGTTCAAATTCTTTTTGAAATGATAAAATTAATTAAAAATTACCTTCTTTTTTATTGTTATGTTATTTAGAAAAAAAAATAAAACAAATTTATAAAAGAGAATTGTATGAAATTATCGCGCACCTTATATGAAATTGTGTAAATTTACAAGTAAATCATGCATACATATATACATATACATACGCGTGCGCGTGCGCTTGTAAGTTATTTTAAGTGTGCGGTGCGTGCGTGCGCGCGCGCGCGCTTAAAAATAATTTATAATAAAAGAAATAGTAAGGTATAAGAATATATATGTTTTTATAATAATTTACAAATAAATTTATATATCATACACAAAAAAGAAATATAAATATATTGAGAATATATTCTCTTTGTTTCTATTTATATACTTTTTTTATAATTTTTTAAACAAGTGATGAATTTTTAATTGATAAATGTTATTAAAAGAAATGTTTTTTTAATTTTTATCTGTTTTTATAAATAAAATAAAAATAAAAGGATAATTTTTGAGAGTTGGTTTTATCATTTTAAGATAAATTTGAGCAG